GTTATAAATGAGTTGAGTTATGAAAAGGTATATCTCTAAATTGAGCTGGTGTCTCGAGATATTTCCTCACCTGAATTCAAAGCTCCTCATACATAATTTTGGTCTCAATGATATATACTGCTACATGGTGAGACTAGAAACTTATAAAATTTTTTAAATTTTATAAGGCTAAATTATATCAACTTTATTAAAATTAAAAAATTATATCAAATCTTTATTATAAAAAAAATATATAAAATTCAAAACTATAAATATAAACGATATTAAACAGAATAACCATTTTTGTTTTCAGTGATTTTGTCATGAGCTAATTTGAATTCGATTGCAAGTTGTTTTGCTTGCTCAAAGGTTCTATTTTTTGTAATTCTAAAATATTTTTGTTTATGTTTTTTGTTTTTATAATAATTAAAACTCCATCTTTTTTCTAATTTATCATAACAAATTCTATTAAAACCTGAAGTATTATTTTTACTTAATTTACGATTTAACATATTTTAACTATTAGTAGTTTTTCTAAGATTACATTTTCTATTATTACAACCTTCTCTGTTAATATGATCAATCATTTTCCATTCAGGATAAATAAATCTATGAAAATCTAACATTGTTCGTTTATTATCTTTTTTAATTGTTGTTGTAATATAATATATATTTGATATTTTTGATTTATGAGCAGTCCAAATATGAGATCGAAGTTTAGTATAATTTGATATCTCACAGAGAAAAGTTTCTGGTTTCTGAGTCTTAACTTCTAAATATACAAACTTTTGAATAGTTACAAGTCTAATTTGATTATAAAAATTATTTTTACGAGTATTAGATCCTTTCCACCAAACCAGTTATTAATAACCTTGAAGGTTGGATGTATTTTTTTCCAAGGAGAATTTTCAGATTCTCGTTCAAAGTTTTCAGCAGACATTTTTTTTAATTAACAAAAAGATAAAACAAATAATATTTATATAATATTTTATTAAAATAAAATTTATAACATATAATTAAAATTATAACTATTGAATGATTGTAATTTAAACAATCTTTCTTTTATATGATCATTAGACTCTATGTCAAATGAATTTTTTCTTTTTTTTGAGATTTCAATTTTTTGTTTGTTTAAAATTTTTATACGTAATTTTCTATGTATATCTTGAAGATTTTTTGGATATAGAAAATCATCAGGAAGTTGCTCTTTCGAATACTGGTTATAAACTTTAAAACTATTATTTTTATAATCAATATTTCCAATAAGGCCTCCGAGAATTTTGTTCATGTTAATTTCTCTTTTCATATATATACAATCATCTTCTTCATTGATATAAAGATTTTTTATATCATCATCATATACAAATCGTTTTGCTTCTTCTATTGTTGTGATATCTTCTGTAAACTTTATGTCAAATCGTCTATATATAAATTTTTTAAGATTTCCTTGTTTAAGCCTAGAATCTCCAGATAAAATAGTGAATTTCACACAACCATCAAAATATCTTCCACTCAAATATATAATATATCCACAGGTATATGCAAGAGAATCTGAAAATCTTCTATATAAAGCATATCTTTTTTCCTAACTGTTAACTACTGTTTCACTATGTATTCTTGTTCGAAAGGAAAAAATATCATCAATACTTTCATTACATGTAAATAAATTAAACTTTGATACTATCTTTTTAGAAGGTTTATTTTTTCTTAGAATAGGAGAATCATCCTAACTCAATATATTGAGTAGATCATTTATCTTGAATGTTGAGTATGAAAGTTCTTATTTAATAATACATTCTTGGTTTTCATACTCAGTAAAATAGCCTGGTTCATCTGCTTTTACAATATAACCTCTTCCATTTGTCAAAGCTAAAGCCAGATTTGTTAATAATATTGTTTTCCTAGATTCTGAATCTCCATAAAACAAAAAATTTTTTGGGTAAAATTTTTTATCTAGAATAATTTTTGTTTTGTTTTTTAATTCTTCTCATCTTTTTTCAATTTTCTATACTCACTAAATGAATTTAACCAATTTGATAGCATAATTTCTTAATTAAAGATTATTTTATCTGAATTAGGTAGATTTTCAAGTAAATATTTTTTCTTTTCTTGATCCTCAAGAATGTTATTATTGATTTTATCAATTGTATCATTCGAGTTTCCAGTCATATAACGATATTTGCCAAATTGATATATTACTGCACCTTCTTCTTCAAGAATTTCTTTTTTTCTATATTGCTGACATTCATCTATGCAAATTTTATAATTACTAACTTCCAGTTTAAAGAAATCATATTTACAGTATTTTCCTTTTTCTTCATTATGATGAATTGAACATCTACTAAAATGTTTGAGAATATAATCACGAGATTGTTTTGAATCACTTTTTAGAAGTACACCTTTAGGAAATGATATCTTATCACTTTCTAATAAAGTTTTGATCTGCTTCATTGTTAATTGTTTTACTAATTGAATATATGTATGATAATGAAGATATCTAAAAGTTGTACGTTTAAATTTTGTTATAATAAAATTAACTAAATGTTTGATTTTATCAAACTCTTCTTGAGAAGTAGGAAAAAATCTTTTGCAATTTATATTTCTTTTTTTACATGATGAGCATATAATATCATTGCATTTGTTTAGCATACAACCATTATTACATCCATTTTTCTCACAGCATGGCCAATGTTTTGTTTTACAAAGTTTGTATTCAGAACAAATATTAGTTCCATTAGACTGTTCAGATTGTTGTTCACGTTCATTTCTTTTTTTATCAGATATTGGTTTTTTGCATTTATATTTTTCATAACATAGTTGACAGTAATAACCTGTGAGAAGATTATGAGTAAATTTAACTCTAGGCATTTTGTAAAAAATAAAAAAATAAAGTTACATAAATAAAATTCTACTTGATATATGTATACTAAGTAGAAATATCTTTATTAATATTTGTTATATATATATATATTTTATTAATAAATATTACATGATATTTGAAATAAATTTGTTATCTTTTACAAGAGATTTGATATATTTTTCTGTACGAGATATATTAACAACAGGATGAAATTTAATAATATCAAAGAAAGTGTTATCTTTTATTGATATAGATTTGTTTAATTCTAAATAGCAATATATATTATTATTACTAGTTGTTATAATATATGATTTAACAATTATATTTCTTTCCATATATAAGAATTGTAAATGTAATAATATATCTTCTATATCAAAATCACAATTAAAGTAAATGATTTGTACTTTCTTACATCGTAAGCAATATGATACAGACATTGTAAAATATATATTTAATAATTATTTAAATAAAATAATTATTTGGGATACTGACTCAAAGAGTGGTGTATCCTGTTAGTGTTTGTGTATTCTCAAAGTCCAGATAGACCAATTTCCTTTTCAAACACAGGTAAAGAAAAAAACATTAGGGAAAATTAGTCTTTATATAGTTTTTTTTAAATTAGAAAATTTGTAGATCAAAAATACTAAAAATTTTTATAAAATTTATGTGTTTCGCGGCTTTGTTGATGATCAATCACATATATGTAATCTAGAAAATATATAAATATCCCAACAAATTTATATTGTATTCTATTTTCATTTTGTATCACAAAAATGATTTACAAATTTTATTTTTACAAAATTTTTGTTAACAAAAAATCGAATCTAAGAGGTATTTGTCACAAGTTAACCTAAGAAATGCTACTAATAAAAGTTGAAGCTGAGGTTATTTTGCATTAGAATCTCTGTTTTCAGGTAAAACGGAGATATGCTTATGAAGTTATGATAATTTTTCTCTTAAAAACGTGATACGAAATTTTTTTCTAGATGTATAACAACTTTGAATAAAAAATTCTTCTCTTTAGTCAAATTAAACAAGGTTTATAGTTCTAAGTAAACTTGAAGCTACGGTATTCAACTGCTTACTTCTTAATTTTCAGAATGATTAAGTTAAATTGATAGAGAGATGATAATTTTATGTTTGTGTATTTTTTTTTCCTGTCATTTTGATGAAAAATTCACCTTTCAACTTCAGATTTTGAGAATCTACATATTAACTTGTATTCAAATTTCACAGGCTGATAGGGAAGGATCATGAAATTTTTCCTGTAAAGTTTGAAGTCAAATGAGTAATTATTCGTTGAGTTATATATTTTTTTGTTTACAAAATGATTGTAACTTTAGTTTTTTATTAATAAAAAAGAAGAAATTCGTTAATTTTGATACTTTGGATAAACAAAACATAGAAAGTAATCTTAGTGAAGTTAATGCAGATGATATCAAAGAGTTTACATATTAAATTTTAGAAGAAACGGATCAAAACTCATGAAATAACTATTTTTTTTGATGAAGACAAAATTACTATTATCTTTGTAGATCATTTTTTAAAATGTCGCGAAACACCAAAAATCGTGTTTTACTCGAAATTTTATTAAGACAATTGATTTTGTGCCACTAATAAAAAATGTGTATTTCATAAAAATAACATTAGTTTCATAATAGCGTTTTGCATATTTTCTAATAAAATTTTAATTGATGATGATTTTTGTATCACAAATTTTACTGTATAAATAATTAAAGTAAGATTTACAGTAATCAATATAAATAAATACATTAAAA